ACTCGCATCTTCTAAGCATCATTTCTCTCATCCAGGCTTCCTTTTGCTTCTCTGCTATACTATCTCTCCCATCCTCAGTGAAACTAGGTTTTGCTACACCCTCAGTACCTGGTCTGACTGATCCATTGCAGGAGGAGAGCAATCCACCGAGTTCTCCACACCTGCCTCCCTTGAAACCACCTCCACCATTCTAATGTCTTCCCATCTTCCCTTAAGAGTCTCTATTTCCAGACTTGCCTTCTGGTCCCTTATTCCAAATGTGACAAGGCTGAACCACAACCGAGTAGTCCCATCCCAAAATCTTGAAGTTTCCCCAAATCGTGCATAGAACTAACCTCAGAATACAGGGAAGCTGGAGCGTTGAATTGATTGTGCCTTACTCTATCTTCCTAGTTGTACTCCTTTGCTTCCAATCCACCTAAGAAAATGCCTAGGTGGGTTGGACGATGAGTACAACCAAACAATTCTTTAGACTCATCAACTTGAACAAGAAACCAACAAACAGGAGCCACTAGACCTCTTCTGTCTTCATTCCCCCTTATTTTAGAATTACGGAAAAATAAATGATTTGTTACACATCATAATATATATCACACAATATATGCATAACACTAAAATGAGCTCCAAAATTTTTACGAAAGCACCTTTTTGTCTTTTGTTTCATGGCATTTTATTTGTGAATTCCAGGAACCACGCTAAGCCAACAGTTCTTAAACTTCGGAAGAATTTAACTAACCAAACTAATATCAATGAAATGGTTCTTGTCATGTCGGGTTTGTCAAATCAACTAATTATAGGATTTCTAGGACTTAACTATTACTTTGATGCAAAATTCTAGCTTTAGTTTTTGCCTTACAAGTACAAAAGAGCACATAGAGTAGCTACAATATTTGAAAGAATCAAATATCCTTTGAAACCAGTGCCTGGATGCATTATGCCATATTTTATGCCATTTTTCATGGCATATTTCTGAATGGGTTTTGGGTCGCATTGATGAGATTCGTAAACTTCTGGGGGTCTCATTCGATGGCCATGAGGTTGAAGCTCTGAAATTGTTTTCTGCTATTGAGGCTTCAAGGCATGGAATTATAGTTCGGAAATACCTACAAGTGGTTTGTCAGAAAACAAAAGGTGCTAAGAGAGTTGCGTTGTTTGGAGTGTTTAGTCAAATATGATTATAGCACAGGTGGGGGAGGTCGTAAGGAAAGGAAGGATCGTGGAAATCAATTATTGTTACCATGCATCTGAAAATTCTGTCTTGGAATGTCGAGGTTTGAATGATCAGGGTAAGAGAGTGGTGGTCAAATCTTTATTGAGGAGTGCTAGGGCGGATGTGATATGTCTTCAGGAAACGAAAATAGAGTGTGTAGGGGGAGAGTTAGTTCGTGATTTATGGGGAGGCAAAGGGTATCCTTCTTTGCTGGGATAGCAGGGTGGTGGTGAGGGAAGGGGAAGAGGTGGGGGGGCTTTTTGCTATCTTGCCTCTTCTAATGCGTGTAGGATGAATTTCGTTGGGTGTTTACAAGGATGTGTGGGCCGGTGAGAAGTTCAGAGCGATGGGCCTCTTGGGAGGAGTTACAGAGTATTGCGTTTCAATGGGACGCGCCATGGTACGTTGGAGGTGATTTTAATGCTGTGAGGAGCTTGGAGGAGAAGGTGGGGGTGAGTCATGCAATAGGGCCCACGCGAATGTTCTCCTTTTTTATTGATGAGATGCAGTTGATTGATTTGCCACTTCAGGGAGGAGGTTTTACTTGGTCTGGAGGCCAAGCATTGTCTCGGATTGATAGATTTCTAGTCACTGGGGTCTGGGAGGAGCATTTTTCTTAGGTGATTCAGATCAGATTACAGCGTTCGATTTGACCATTGGCCAATATTGTTGGATAGTGGGGGGATTTGACAGGGCCTGGCCGTTTCGTTTTGAAAATATGTGGCTACAGTTGAATGGTTGTGTGGAAAAGGTGGGTGATTGGTGGAGGAGTTACAAGGTGGTGGGGTTGCCCAATTATCAATTGGCTCAGAAGTTGAAACTTTTGAAACTAGATTTGAAACGATGGAATGCGGAGGTGTTTGGTAGTTTGGAGGTTCAGAAAGCAAACATTCTGATAGTGTCGCAGGGGTTAGATGAGGAGGAGGCTGAAGGGGTTCTCTCTGAAGAGGACTTGGTCCATTGGGATAGGGCTCGAAAGGAGTACGAGCAAGCTCTTCAGATGGAGGAAATTAGCTTTCAACAGAAATGATGTTTGTGGTTGAAAGCTGGGGATCACAATATGAAGTATTTTCATCAAATGCGCGAATGCCCATTGATGAGTAAACTAGATAGGGAAAATGAAGGTAAATGAGGAGCTGCTATCATCAGAGAAGGATGTCAGGGCTGGCATTGTGGGTTTCTATCAGCATTTGTTTCGAGATGATGGGGATGTGAAGACTAGGATCGGAGGGGGTGGTGTTTGACGCTATTTCTGAGGCAGATAGTTTGATGGTAGAGAGGCCGTTTTTGGAGGAGAAGGTGTTGGATGCATTAAGGAGCATGTGTGGAGATAAGGCGCCGGGGCTTAACGGTTTCACTATCATGTTCCTACAGCATTGTTGAGGGGTTGTGAAGGTTGATGTGATGGCTTTGTTTGAGTAATTTCATCAGACGAGGCAATTTGAGAAGAGTCTTAATGCAACCTTTATAGTGTTGATTCTAAAGAAAGGGGGGCGAAAGACATTAGGGATTTCAGCCCATCAGTCTTTTGGGTAGTGCATATAAGTTAGTGGCTAACGTCTTGGCTAATAGGCTCTAGGGTGTGTTGGAAGGGGTAGTGTCTAAGTCGCATAACGCATTTGTGAGAGGCCGTCAGATCCTGGATGTTGTGCTTGTGGCTAATGAGTGTGTGGATTCGCAATTGAGACAAGGAAATGCGGGGGTCATTTGTAAGTTGGACATTGAGAAGACATATGATAATGTAAATTAGCAGTTTTTGCTTTATGTGCTTCAGCGTATAGGTTTTGGGGATAGATGGAGGAAGTGGGTTCACTTTTGCACCTCTACTATGCGGATGTCGGTTTTAGTAAATGATACTCCGGCGTGCTTCTTTCCTACATGGTGGGATTTGTGTCAGGGGGATCCATTGCTTCCTTTGTTGTTTATTTTGGTGATGGAGGCGTTGGGTCGTTTGTTATCCAATGAGGTCTATAGGGGTTTGTTGTCTTGTTTTGAGGTAGGGATGGGCCAAAATGCAATGGGGATTAATCACCTGTTCTATACAGACGATGCATTTATTTTTTGTGATGTTGATATAGTTCAATTAGGCCACCTGCGGTGTATGTTGTTTTTGAGGCAGTATTAGGGTTGCGGGTCAATTTGGCAAAGTCAAAGTTGATCGTCTTTCGCTTTTGGTAGCAGTTTTGGGGTGTGAGGTGGCAAATCTTCCAGTTTCCTCTTTGGACCTTCCTTTGGGAGGCGACTTTCAAGGCGAGGGGGGTATGGGATAGGGTGGTGGACCAGGTGCAAAGGTGGTTGCCGGGGTGGAAGCATCAGTACTTGTCCAAAGGTGGGTGGATTACTCTGCTTAAGAGTGTTTTGTCTAGTATTCCGACCTACTTTATGTCGGTGAATGTGATTCCTGTGACGGTTGCTAAGCGGCTAGAGAAACTGCAACAAGATTTTCTGTGGAGTGGTGGGAGGGAGGGTTTTCATTACTATTTGGTGGCGTGGGATACGTTTGTACTTCTAGGAGTCTGGGGGTTTGGGTATGAGGAAGTTGGTCATGTTTAATCAGGCTCTATTAGGGAAATGGCTGTGGCATTTTGTGTTAGAGAGGGATAGGTTGTGAAGGCAGGTGTTGGTGGCTAAACATGGATTGGGTAATGGGGGCAGGTCTTCGGGTAGGGTATGTCATTCCCATGGTTGTGGCTTATGAAAGGGGATTTGGTTGGGCTATAAGGAGTTTTGGGGTCGAGTTTAGTTCAAAATAAGGGTGGGGGATAGGGTTCGCTTTTGGCAAGACAGGTGGTGTAAGGGTTTGCCTTTGGCAACATTGTTTCCTTTAATTTATGCTATTGCTTCCGATCTTGAGGAGATGGTGGCTTCTATTCGAGCTCAGTAGGGCAGGTGTTTGTTTGGAATGTTTATTTATGGCGTGCGGCGCAGGATTGGGAGTTAAGAGTTGCTGGTGGAGTTTTTTGATTTTCTGTATAATTTGCATTTGGAGGGAAATGGTCTAGATACTTTGGTATGGGATTGTCCAAAATCTAAAAAGGTTTTTTCGGTGTCTTCATTTCATCAGGCTTTGACGGGTGGTAGTGCAGTGGCCTTTCCTTGGAGGTGTATTTGGGTGTCAGGGTCACCATCTAAGGCAGTGTTCTTTGTTTGGATGGTAGTCTTGGGTCGTATCTTGACTATTAATAACTTAATTCGTCGTGGACATGTTCTGGAAAATTGGTGTTGCTGGTGTTGCGGTGATGCGGAGATGGTGGATCGTTTGCTTATTCATTGTCCGGTTACGTCATGTCTTTGGATGTTGATTGTGGCGATTTTTGGTTTGGCTTGGGTGCAGCCGGGTTCTATTTCTGATGTTGTGGTGTTTGACGCTATTTCTGAGGCAGATAGTTTGATGGTAGAGAGGCCGTTTTTGGAGGAGAGCAGAGGCGGCAAAAGACATGGTTACTTGCTCATAATTGTTTGCTTTGGTTGGTGTGGTTGGAGCGTAATAGGAGTATTTTTTAGGATATGGCACATTCAGTTTTGTGATTAGAGAATCGTTTTCTTGTGGTGCTTCATAGTTGGGTTCCGGTTTCGGTGGATTCTGATGTTTTGACATTTGTAGATTTTGTGGGGGATTTGATTAGTTAGTTTTTGTTTTGTGCCCTTTATCGGTTTTGGTTCTTTTTGTATGCTTTGCATCACCTTGATGCTTTCTAATAACGTTTGATTATTTATCCAAAAAAATGGGTGTTAAAAAAAATAGTTGCAATAAATACAACACACAAACAATTGAATTAAAAAGACTCACCTCAGCTTCTAAAGATGTTCTTGAATCTCCCTTGATTGCACACAACTCTGCAAAAAGAGTAGCCCATTTTACTGCCTTCCTCAGCCTACCAATCAGGTAGCTTCGTTGGCGTGCATTGGGACCATCTGGCAGCTGTCTTTTCTCCATGGCATGGCTCCAAGCTCTTTCTGCCGTATAAAGAACCACATGGAGAAACCTATAAAAAAAACATCATTATTAGAACCAAAGCTTTGACAGCTTAAGATATGTAATTAATTGCACCATAAAACTCAAAAGGCCTACTAGGAAGAGTATATCCCATCTAATGCTCAAAATAGATACTTTTTTTTTTCCCCCAGGTTTAGTCGTAGAATGAGCACTCATATATATATGTGTATATATATATTGATAAATTCAGAAACAGCTGTATAGGCAAAACAATAAAATACAAGAGCAGCCACTGCAATAAGCTTAAGCTTGACAACAATAACATAGAGGAACATGAAATTCTCTCCGGACTCTGATAGTTGACTCTAAGTTGCAAGACCACAGCAAAATTGATGTTCATAAACAAAAATTCAATGCACAGAAAAAGCACTAAAGAATATCTTTTGAAGTGTCGGTGCTTCATGGATTTTGAGATTATATGCTAAGGGTGTTTAACCAGTTTTCCATCGAACTGTAGCTTGGCTTCCATGTGCAGACTTCACTTCAATGCTGTTGTTTGGGTCAGATTTACAAGATATAGTGGAGTTTCACAAGGCCAAGCATTGACTAGCTTTTAAGTTTCTTTCGTCACCAAGTTTCCTAGGGTTCAAGCAAGAGTCTAACATAATTTGGCATTGTGTAAGAGACAGCTTGAATAAATTTAATCTCGAATGTATCAGCGCCTCAAGTATGATTTCCAAAGCATTTTCCTCTAATTCTTTTTGCACTAGGTATTCTTAGCCTACAATTACCCCAAATTTTCTAAGGCCATTCATTATTCTAGGGCCAAAAGTAAAAATTCCTAGGAACACTCTACCAAACCTCTCACCATATCCCTTTCAAAGATTCTAAATCTTTCATTTCTTGACCTAAGTCTTTGGTTCACAGAAATCAAACAGGGCTTCAGTGCATTACATTCTTTTCCCAGTAACAATATTTTCAACAGTAACAAACAAGACATGTTCAATCTAACATTATTGAGAAACAATTTCATCAATTCAAGTTTTACTCCCTAAATTACTCATGAATAAAATTAAATACAATAAATCGAAACATAAGTATCCACAAAATTCATCTCTCCATACAACACACACCTCACTTCAGTGACTGTAGCTGCAGTAATGGCTCTCTTGGCGTATTTACCACGCCCGTGCGTGAACTTCAATGACTTGTACAATCTCCTCAATCGAGCATTACAATACCTCCTGAAATTCCAATAAATTAATTCCAACCAACAAGATCAAAATATAGAATCACACACTACATCAGTTTATACACACACAGAGACGTATATATATAATCATACTTGTATATACATAATTTATACCTGTAGCGAGTGTATTCCCCAAAACGTAACCCGTGCTGCATCTGAGATGATTTCAAGAGTTGCAACACTGCACGGAAGAAGAAAATTAATTCAAATGTACACAAAATTGTGCATGCATAGAGAGAGAGCGAGAGAGAGATTAGGGGTGAACCGTTGATTGAGAACTTGGGGATATTGATCTGATCAGAGGCATTTGGTTTGGAATCGTCGATTTCCATAGCGGCCACATCGTTTTCTTTCCCCATCGATCCTGAGAGATTTCAAACGAAGTTTTCTGATGAAGACAATGATGATGATGAAGACGTACCTGGATTCCGATCTCCGGCAGCTGCTCCGTCGCAAGGGGGTGAGTTTTCCGGTGGCGGCGGCGCGTTCAGGCTTGAACGAGTTTCGCTTCTCTGGAGAGAGAGAGACTGTTTGGGTTCTCTGCAGGATTCCACTCTGTGCAGTGAATGAGGTTGAATTCAAGCGGGTCGGACTATCCGATTACTAGTCCGCATTTCGTACCCGCTAAATTAGGATTGGTTTGACAAGTTTAAAAAAGTTAAAAAGTTAAAAAGTTAAAAAGTCAAAAAGTCACTATTCTATTTAAGTCACATTATCTTATTTAAGTTATATTATCTCTCTAACACATCACTTCAAATCTAACTCAAATCCAACACAACCTAAATCCAACCCATATTTCATAAAAAGTCAAAAAATACACTTATTTAGATCATCAAAACAACTCCTAATATTACGGGATGCTTTTATTTACGCATCACATTTTATCTCAAGATATATTATTAACTAGTTTATTTTTTATTACAACTTTAACTTTAGGTAAAATAACCATAAAGGACAAATGATTATGATACACACTATTTGTATAATTACTATAAAGAACAATAATGAATATAATACACATCAAGAATCTCAAACGTTACTTACGTATCTTGTCTCTCAATAATCCAAAAACTCTAAAACAAAAACAAAAAATCCTTAAAAAAATAACCAAAGATATATGTATTATTGAAGATTTTGATTAGATTCAATGATGGATGCATCTGGCAATACTGGTTCGGAACAATGGAGTAAGGAAAATGTTATTTTTTCATTTCTTTTTCATTTTCGTGTACTTGCTGAGTGGTATACCGTTTATATTAATTCGGTTATCCATAATCGAATAATATATCCATGTTCGACTACCTACAACCAAACAAATTGTATATGTTTGATTTCATAGTGTCGAACATGTTCCAGTTGTTTGGTTTGTAAGTATCGAACAAATACCAATTGTTCGGTTAGAAACAGTTGAACAATTCCACTTAGTTCCACTCTGTATTGCCGAACACTTATAACAATTTTTCTTTGTTGTTGCTTTTTTCCAGAATTGTGCATCCATGTAATGCAGTAATGTTGGATCTGGGAATCTTGTTGACTACACAAGTCAATTTATTACTAATGAGGTAGTCTCATGTCGAAAATTAGTATTTTGTCTTTTTCTTTCGCATGTTTAATGATTTTAGTGAATTTGACATGTAGGTTTTCAAGAGCAAAGAAGAATTGCTCAGTTGGGTATGGGACGTTGAAAGGAAAAATGGTTTTGTGATTGTCATCAAGACATCAAACTATGGTTGTGAGCATAGGACACCAAGGATATATCTTGCCTGTGAGAGAAGTGGTTAATACAGAGCTCAGAAGAAATTAAAAGGAGATTATTCAAACAAAAAAATTGTGAAGACAACAGGTACAAAGAAATGTGGGTGTCCTTTTGAGTTGAGGGCTCGTAAGTTGACGGCTGATGATGATTAGATGCTAGATGTAGCATGTGAAATGTACAACTATGCTCCTGTCAAACATTTTGAAGGACATTCATTTGCAAGGAGATTATCTGAGGAGGAAACATCATTATTAGTGAATATGTCCAAAAGCATGGTTAGACCAAAAGAGATTTTGGTTACCTTGAAACAAAATGATGCTTTGAATGTAGCCACTATGAAAACCATTTACAATGTATGTAATAGGAATAATATTATTGAGAAAGCTGAGAGATCACAAATGCAACAGTTGTTGGGTGAATTAGAAAAACATAATTATATTGAGCAACATTGATGTGACAACAACACAATGACTGTCACAGGCTTGTTTTGGGCACATCCCGTCAATTTAGATTTGCTCCGTTCATTTGCAAAGGTGCTGATCATGGACTGCACATATAAGACAAATCAATATCGTCTTTTGTTTCTTGAGATAGTTGGTGTGACATCCACTGATATGTCATTCTCCGTAGCCTTTGCATATCTCAAATTTGAGCGGATTGATAACTACGTTTGGGTGTTAACTACATTGCGTAGTCTCTTGGATGACATTATTATTCCTGAGGTAATTGTTACGGACAAGGAGCTTGCTTTGATGAATGTTATTGACAAGGTATTTTCTACATCTTGACATTTATTATGTCGATGGCATATTAGTAAAAATGTACTGGCGAAATGCAAGAAAAAATTTGAGAGTAAGGAGAAATAGGACAAGTTTATCTCTTTATAGAATTTCTTAGTACTTTCCTCGACTGAGCTTAAATACAATGAACGCCTTGCCATGCTACTTGCGGATTTTGATACATATCCTGAGGCAGTGCAATACGTGTCACAAAGTTGGTTAATTCCATATAACGATAAGTTTGCTGCCGTATGGACAGATAGTTGTATGCACTTTGGGAATGTTACAACCAACAGGTAATATATATTTGTCTACCTTACACTATTAATCATTATGATTTTGATTATTTAAACTTTATTATGTTAATTGTTTCCATTGTACACAAGGCTGAAAGTGCACATGCAAAACTTAAACAACAGCTTGGTTCTAATCAAGTCAATTTTGAGTGTTCTTGGACTAAGATCCATAGTTTGCTTGAGTTGTAGCACGTTGATATTAAGGCATCATTTGAGAAGAGTTTAACCATTGTACAACACTAGTTCAAATCGTCCCATTTTAGAGAGCTCCGAGGCAATATCTTTACTACTGCATTAGATCATGTCTTAGCGGAAAGTAAGCGAGCAGATGATGTTGGCATTGATGTTTCAGTATGTGGATGTGTTGTTCGATGAGCACACGGGTTACCTTATGCCCATGAGATTGCAGATTACATCCGACAGGGTCATCTAATACCACTTAATACTCTTGAGATAGTATAAAAGTTTAAAAATGATAAAGTGGAATTGAGCTGTGAACCAAAGTTTGATCTTATACTTAAGTGATTCAATGTATCTGATTACATTATGAAGTTGGAAATTCGGCATAAGTTAGGAGAGATTGCAAAATCCGCAAAGTACTTTTCTCATTGAGCCGGATGTGAAGCCCAACCCTCGAGGTAAGAGACATAAAAAGATAGATGTATCTACGCGTCGAGACCCATGTGCATTTGAGTTGGTTTAGTCTAGACATGATAGCCACTCACTTATGGGCACCCAGATCCCCACACAGTTTTCTGTCAAAGTACATAAAAAGAGAAGGTATATGTAATCATTTTTTTCTTACATTTTTGTTTATGATAAATTATGTGTTTTGTTGTTCATGTGTTGATGCCTTCCTTGTTGAATAGGTATATCAGACTCGTACAGCTACGACTTATTCATACGTTGATGCCCTCCCAGTTGGATTGAAGTCGTACATACGTCTTATCAAGGATGTAGATGGCGATGACAATTGTGGCTTTAGGGCCATTGCTGGCTTGATGGGGCTTACAGAGGCTGAATAAGGTCAAGTCAGGCGTGATCTCCTACAGAAATTGCACACACACAGAGACCATTACACTCATCTATATGGTTCACATGACAAGATTGAAGAGTTGACCCATATTCTATCATACTTTGAGCCCAATCCAGGGTATCACCGTTGGATGACTATGCCTGACATGGGACATCTTATTGCATCATGTTATAATGTGGTATTGTACCACTTATCTGCACAACAATGCCTTACATTCCTCCCCCTACGATCAGTGCCAATATCACAAGTTCAATGGCATGAGATTGTTATTGGGTTTGTTAATGTGAATCATTTTGTCTAGGTATAACATTATGATTTATGTAATACATTTATCATTTTGTACTGCATCGATCTCATTCTTAAAGTTTTATCAATGTAGGTGTTCATGTTACCGGGTCATCTAGTTCCACCAATAGCTACCAATTGGTACAAGTTTCATCATTCTTGTATGGCTAGATGGGGTATTGCATATAGTCGCCAAATTGAGCATTTTAAAGAAGTTGTTCATTCAGGGGTAGCTACTAGGGAGACATTTGATTGTGTTAACTTTAACGAGTAATGATGTATGTGAGTTGAGTTGTAGTTATGCAATTCAAATAGTTACTGATACATTTTTTAGCGGATTAGTATTTTGAGTTAATTTAATGCACACGGTACTACTTGTTCATTGTGGTGTTTCAAACGCATTAGCATAATACTTCTTGTTCATTGCCAAAAATACAAACCATGAATACTTGTTCATTACAAAACAACAAAAATATCAAAGGAGTATTTCTCTTCCATTAGAAAATAACAAAACAAGATTACCACAAAACCTACTACATATCATCTATTCGTCTTCTATAATTGTATGTTCTAAATGGAATAAAACTAGGTCCAGCCTCATCGATTTGTTGACCCTGAAGAACACATGTCATCCTCTCAATAGCCTTATATAACCTATCTGGCTCATGAACACTAGCATCATGGCCCACCTCGATGATAAGATGCGCAATCCGTAGTGCGTGATTAATACGCTGCATTAAGAACAAATACAATTGCAATTAGCTAAACATCTTCAAAAAAATGTAAACAATGTGTGTGTAATATTGTCATACTTCAGCATCCTGCACATCAAATCGACTATCCTGTGCACGTGGGTCAAAACCAGACCAATGTGTGGGGTTCTAGATATACAAGTGTGTGATACTTGTATACCACTGCATGTAACCATCAACACAATCAGCCGGACGTCTGATTGGGGTACTCCACCTCTAAGCAGATAAAACATGATTATCCCATCTCTGATCAAGATAATGATACATCACTCTATATTGCCCTGCTGTGACACCTAAAACAGCACGAACAGGGTCGAGTGGCGTAAGTGAGATGGTCTAAACGCTAGCAAATTGTCTAAGAACCTTTTCAGGATGACAGGGTTTAACTACATCCAAACACTTCAAACAGCCGTTGTAGAATGTGATCTCATAACATGGATGATGTTGGTGGCAATATCGATTTGCATCCCAAGTAACCTAAGAGAGAAACACAAATGAAATCTTGATGAGTGACATGTAATGAGAACACTTAATTGAACTAATATTAATTATTATACCTCATCAAATGCCAATCTGTCAAGCTCTTCTTGTAACACTTGTAGGTGTGATATCTTTGAACCAGCTTCCCGACGAGGAGTCCATCGATGCACATGAGACAATTGTACAGTATATTCCATGTTT